AAAAAAAAACATTAGAAAAACGACTTTAATGGTGTTAACTCAATTTCAAAACCAATACTTGTTCGACTAAAATGGTGTTAAGTTGAGTTTTTACTTAATTTCAAAATAGTTTTTCTCTAAAAGTCAAAACTAAAAGAAATTATATGATGTATATTTTTATTTTAATACTAATACATCAATACCAATGATCTTCATATACTATTTAAACCACCATTATGACCACTACTGGTCACCACTTTGATCCCCTCCAACCACCACTATAACTTCTGCCAATCACTACTTCAACCATTGTTAACCACCTCTGGTCATCACTTTATCCCTATAAGACATCTAATTTGATTATTACCAACTACGAATATGATCACCCTTAATTATTATTATGACCATCATCAACCAACACTATGACCAGTGTCAATCATTAACTCATCCAAACCACGAATTTGATGACCTTACATAGATCCATATTTTCTAAAATGGATTACAACAACAATCAAAGTTGTTGCTAGATACTACTGCTAGGGTTCTCTCATATCCATAAGCATAGAAGATGAAATTGTAATCATTGAGATAATAGATCTTAGTGATTCTCAAGGACAACATAATAGAAACATTTCACAAAGAAAGAGTGGTATCATGGAGTTGAATACCAATGATGCTATTCTGGCGCAAAACAAGTTGGTGACACAAATGATGGATAAGTTAGCAAAATGGTTTTCAAGTTGTTGATACAAATTGAAGGAGATGCATGAAATTCCACAACAAAGGCGAATTCCATTTTGGGAATTATGCAGCCATGATCATCCAACTAGATTCCTCAACTAATGCATAAGTGAATTACGTAGGTAATCAAAAAAAGGTCTAGGAAATATCTAAACAACAACTTTCCAAGGAATAACAACTTCAATCAAGGATGGAGATTTGAAATTGGTTCTTCCAATAGACAATATTTTCATCATTATACACAAGAACATCCACAATAAGACAAAGCAAAAAAGTTGGAGGATATACTCAATCAGTTTAGGCACATGTCTATAGCCATCCACATAAACACTAAAGTCTCCATAAAGAACTTTGAGACGCAAGTTAGGAAATTATCTAGATAGTTAACTGATCTCTCAAACAACACATTCAATGCTAACACCTAGACTTATCCAAAAGAGCATTGTGATATTATTGTGGTGCACGACAACATTTTGTTGAAGCCATGAATGAAAAAATAGTAAGACCAGAAGAAGAAGAATCACATGAGGATAGTTGTGAAGTTACCCAAGAAACTCTACCATAGAAGAAAGAAAATCTTGGGTGTAGTCATATTACATGTCTCTATAGGTGGTATGGAAGTTGGAAATACACTCATTGAATTGGGTGCAATTTTAAACATAATACCATTACCATTGGTACAGAAAATTAGTGACCTTAAAATAGAGCCAATTGCGGCAACATTGCTTATGACGGAAAAAACTTGGAGGAAACTATTAACGATGTATTAATCAAGATTGATAAGTTTTCATTTCGTGTAGATTTCATGGTATTAGACATTGAGGAAGACCCAAATAAGTTTATCATCCTATAGAGTCCACTCATGAAGATCACAAGGATGCTGGTAGACATTAATAAAGTTCAAGTGAAGGTCAGAATCAAAGACGGTAAGGTACTCCCTCCGTCCCATATTATAAGAGAATTTCACTTTTTAGATTCATTGAATAATTAATGTATCGGGTCTATATATATAAACTAGATACATTAATTATTCAATGAATCTAAAAAATGAATTTCTCTTATAATATGGGACAGAGGGAGATATTTTAAGGTATTTGTATTTCTTATAACTGGCAACTGTCAAGCTATCAATAAACAAGTGATTGTTGGGAGGAAACCCAATCAATTTTACTATTCTTCTAAGTCAAGTATTTTAAATTTCCTCTCAAAAATCATAATTGAAACTAAAGTTTAGCACAAAAAAATGCAAGGCATGTCACTAAGCGCACTTTTGGCATGTGCCAAGTTCTGCTTAACGCGCCCACTGCAAGAACATTAAGCTATTTATCTCTTAGTCAACTAGATCTCTCTTAGTGAGAAGTTAATTAAAGAATAGTAGTTGAAGGAACTCTGACATTTGACACATTTAGGGTCACTACTTTGATCACCACCAAGCATCACTCTAACTTCCGTCAATCACAACTTCAACCACCGCGAACCACCTTTGAGGATCACTTTATCCACATAAGATATCTAGTATTATTACTACTAATATGACCACCTTTAATTACTATTATAACTATCATCAACTGACACTATAATTGTCATCAATCACTAACTCATCTATTTCAGATCACCAATTTAACAACCATTGATCCTCAAATTAACCAACATTAACCACCACTCCGACCATTATCGACCACCAATCTAACCATCGTCAGTCAAAACCTTCGATCACCAATTTATATTTAGTCCACCATAAACTACCACTATATCCACCACCTGACCATAACCGATCACCACCACCAACTAATACCCTGATCACCAGTAACTACCACGAATCACTACCATTCATCCCCACTTTAGCCATTGTCGTTGCCTATCATTGACTATCACTCTAACTGCCACTCATGACCAACATCCACTACTACTCTCACAATCACCTATTATCACACTTTGTCCATCAAAGACACCGCAAAGAACCTTTCAATTTCTTTTTTTCTTGTATTTTCTCTATTACTATAGTTTTATGTATATAAAGTCAAATAAATATTAAATATATGTCATATATCTTAGGAGTGTGTTTTATTTTTCGTAATGGAGAGGATTTATACTCCTCTAACAGACGTCTACCGACAACCACAATTTTAAAACAATTATGTTTAAAATTACTACTAAATTAATACATTATATATTTTGGTATTTTAATTATTTTGCAAATTTAATAATATGCTTTCTTTGAATTAAATCATATTTAAGATAAATACTTTGTTTTATTTAAACTAGTTTAGTTTTTGAAAAAATTTCACATCTCAAAATTAATATTAATATTATTTTTTAAAATTTATAAAACTCAACAAAAACTCATTTTAACTTTTAATTATTTAAAAAAGAAATTAAAAAAAATCATTCCAACTGAAATTTAAATATTTCATAGTAGACAATATATATATATATATATATATATATATATATATATATATATATATATATATATTAATTATATTAGTTATTTATGTGAATTGATTAAATAAAGTTAAAATAATAATTAAATTTTCATTTAGTAATTGGTTAATTAATTAATTGAATATATATATATATATATATATATATATATATATATATATATATATATATATATATATATATATATATATATATATATATATATATATATATATATATATATATATATATATATATATATATATATATATATATATATATATATATATATAAACTGATTATCTTTTATTTTCATTTAAAAAATATTCAAAACAATAGTCGGTTGAGGATGATGCACAAGGCAATATGTGTTAATTAATTGTGTCTAAACTTTTTTTTTAAGATTACCATTGTCTCTCTCTAAATTTTTTTTTCTTGGATTCATTCATGCATTCTCATAATCTTTAATAGATCAATATGTCATAAATTCTAAACTTGTGTGTATACATATTTATATATTTGATTTGATTTTGCCTTAAATTATAGGATTAAATATATTTAAAGTTTTTCTAAAATTAAGTATTTTTATTTTCCGTCTTTTTAAAAAATTTTGTTAAAAAATTATTCTTTTAAAGTTAGGAATTTTAGCTTTTCAGCCTTAATTCAGTCATTAAATAGTAAATTATTATTAAAAATTATCATTAATTCAGTTGTTAAGTTGTAAAAATTATCGTAAAATTACAAGAAGGATCAAAAGTTAAAATTTTTAATTTTAACAGAACAATTCTTTAACGAAATTTTTTAAATGGGCAAAAAGCAAAAATATCTAACACTACGAACTTTAAACATGTTTAATTCTAAATTATAATTAATGTTATAGTATTTATATTTGAACATATATTGTACATATTAGTTATTAAATTAATTCTAAGATTATTTATCTTTTCATTTGAGCCAAGTTCTTATTCCAAAACTAAAGTTTTAAAATAAAATTAGTTTCATACGTCTTTATTATGAAGGGAACACTGTTAGACTATTTATGTTACATCACATATTAAACTCTTGACTGCCACAAATCATTTTCACTTTCTTTTTTCATGCACTATGAACTCGAGTATGCACGGTGAAATTGCCCTATATGGTAAATTATTTTTATGGTGTAGGGCAAATATTTTTTAGGTGAATTTGATTTATTGTTATGAATTATTATGAATATATATATATATATATATACTATTTTCTAAATCAATCTTTTCATTGGGAGCATTGATCTTTATACACATGACAATCTAAGCTCAAAGGTTAAAAATAGAAAGCAGTTATTAACCTTTCTACATTTCTCTTCATCAAGTGTGGCAATCACCACATGTATCCACCTTATATTCGTATATCCTTCCTTGCATGCTAACTATATATGTGAATCAAGGTAAAAAACTTTCCAATCTAATCAACAACACAAGATTCTTTACCAAAACAAAGGAAAAGCTACAAAACACAATGAATGAGAAAAAACATAGATATCAAAAGAGAAATTCAATTTCAAACATTGAATTTTATTGCTTAAACTTGAATCCTCTACAACTTCAGCATAACGTTGAAGTCGTACAGGTTTCAAGTTCGTGTTACATATAAGAATCAACAAAACGAATTACATTGAAATGTCTTAAAAACAAAAGAATGAAGAAGCCTCATCATCCTTAACTAACCACATTAAAAAACTTGGGTTTTAGGACAGGGCTATGTTTCTGTGTGCTATCTGTTTTTTTTTTTACAAGATATTGTTAACTTTTTTGTGTGTATACAAGAAAAAATTCCTGAGACTAAAAAGAAGCAAGATTGTGTTGATGATAAGTTCTCTAGAATTGCGAAATGCAACGTCTATGACAAGCAGTATTGCGTTGCTTCTTCTGTTTAGTCTCATGTTTCCAAACATTTCCAATATCTTGTGCAATTTTAACAGCATCAGATGAAGCACCAGAAAGCCCTCTCTTTGTGAACCCTACAGCATACAGTCCTGAGTTTCCTTTCCAACCATGTGGAAATGGCATCTTTGGATATCCGTTTTTCGAGAAAAATTCACCTTCCTGTTCATAACATAACCATAACTAAATTAGTCCTTCGATCACACACAAAATTTCTAATTATAATCATCGAAAAAGGAACATGTCTGAATAGACGCTGTCTCAGCGTCAATTCAAACATGTTCTTCTGTCGTTGAATTAGTCTAACATTTCTCTGCTAAGATTTAACTGACGTGATAAAATAATATAAGTCAAGTATGATAGTGTCATTTTTAACGGATCTAGGACAAGTTTTCACCTGAAGCCAAGAAGGGACATTGCTCCTATAACCAGTGGCAAGAACAACAGCATCAACATCGATCTTTTGGCCGTTAACAAGTTCGACTTGGCCGTTTTTATGAAACTTGTTGATTCCAGGAACAACTTTTATATCACCGGATCTAATTTTGTCCAAGGTACCAATATTCAAAACCGGTGTTTTTCCTTCTGTGTTCTTCAGCTGTAAAGGACCCATTGAAGGCCTTTTGATACCAAACTTTTCCATGTCACCCAAAAGAAACCATGTCAAAATTAGAAGAAGTTTGTCCACAATCCAAAGTGGTAGCCATTTTAACATCATAACTGCTAATTCGAATGTCGATATTCCAAATATTTCTCGGGGTAACACGTGAACCTGTAAATCAAAAACAGAACAAACCAGTTAGATTTTTTCATACCAGACACAGACACGGACACAGACACAGACACAGACACAGACACCAGACATGAACTTACCGAGCTACGAACAACCATTGAAGGTAAAGCATGATGGTTGCTAAGATCAAGAGAGAGTTCCATTCCTGAATTTCCGCAACCAACAACAAGAACTTTCTTTCCTTTGAAATTTTGACCTGACTTGTAATCACAAGCATGAACAACTTCACCTTTGAATTCAGAAAGTCCTTCAATCTCTGGAGTCACACACTCAGCATTTTCGCCCGTAGCAACAACAAGCCATCTACAAATATACTCAACTTCATTGGTTTTCACCCTCCATAATCCACTGGTTTCATCATACTTAGCAGATTGAACGCACTCGTTGAATTGCGGGTTGATTTCGAATTTGTTAGCATAGGTTTCAAGGTAGTTTATGAACTGTTTCTTTGAAGGGTATTCAGGGAAATCATCAGGGAATGGAAGGTTAGGTAGTTGACAGAATTGTTTTGGGAGGTGAAGTTTCAATCTGTCGTAGGTTCTTCTTTGCCATAGTGATGCTATGCAATCAGCTCTTTCGAGAACAATGAAGGGCACTCCTTGTTCTCTAAGACATGCCGCCGTTGCTAGGCCTGATGGACCTGCGCCTATGATCACAGGTCCATTGACCCAAATGCAACGGCGGGAGATGAAATCTTGGTGATCAGATAGACGAAATAAATTCTCCATTTGTTGATTTGGGTTTGTTCAAGAAGTGAAAAAGATTGTTTCTTTGATGAGTTTGTTTTCAAAGTGGTTTTTGAAACTTGAAAGAAAGTGTTTGGTTTTCTTCTTGTTTTGGTTTGTGATTGAGATGATTTAATGAACTTTGGTTTATGGAATTGTGAATGTGAGTGATGATTGAATGAAGAAAGAGGAGGAGTTTCAAGGACTTAAATAGAGGAGAATTGCATGTGATGAGGTGGGGGACTCATTTCTCTTTCATTAATTATTACATTGTTTGTTATTAAAGTGCATAGTTTATGTATGGTTTAATGAACTTCTTATCTTTAATTTTTATTTATTTTGTTTCTAATGACTTAGTGTCAAATTGACTTTGAGGTTTTATTAGTACAATGTCAAATCATATAATCTTGTGTTATTGAGAATCCTTAATATTGATTTTGAATGTTATATGTTTTTTGTATGTGAATATTTTATAACATTATATTCTATGCTAATATTATATTAGATTCTAGTTGTTAAAATAATGTGGGAGGGATTATTATAAGGTTATTAGCATATAATTTTATGTAGAGTTATTGTTTACTTGGAAAAGTATCTTTAATCGCCACATTCACACTCACAATGGATTATTGGGTTCCTTTAATTCTCTCTTTTCATAAATAAAAAATTGTCACAAAATTGAAAGATATAAGAGTTATTGTCTAATAGTTTTTAACTCCGATTCTATTTTGTTTTAAGTGATTGTTTCTAAATTATGTATTTTTCAATTTCTCAAAAAAAAATGTATAAAGTTGTGTTTTTGAATGGCTAAACTAAAAAATTATGTGTAAAGTAAAATAAAAATATAAAAGGATGTGTGTATAGTACGTTTGATTGATTTTATATGTTGTAAAAATAAATTATAAATTTGATTTTTATATATTGGGCATAAGTGTGAGTGGTAAAAGTTTCATATCGTCTATGAATGAGCGAAATATTAGATTTATAAGAGAGAGAACCCATTTACTTAATACCTTAAAGTTTTGGGTGGATATGTGACGTCTCTTGTAAGAACATGATTTAGTTCTGCATCTGGCCTTGAGTTTTTATGATAACATTATATGGATGATTAGATAATAATTTAGTACCCTAATGATTTGTTTAATGTGTAACTTTTGCTAACAAGTTCTGTCTCTGAAGAAATAACGTGTGACGTCATTAGATTCTGGATTCAGTACACTGAAGAATACAAGATTGTGTTTCATGGCTTAGAATGCATCTTAAAGCAACAGTTTTGAAAGAACGTTAGTTTTATTGCTTCTAACTATGATTCTGTTGTAGAGCTTCTGATACGCTCTAAAACTCTGAAGATTCCAAGTTATCTTGCCCAAGTTCTAAAAATTTTAAAGACAAGGTTTTGTTGAACAAGTTTTGAAGATTCTGAAGATCTACAGTTCTCTAAACCAATTTTTGAAGACTCTAAAGACAAGGTTCAGTTGAACGAAGTTCTGAAGACTCTGAAGAAAATGTTATGAAGACTCTGAAGGCCAAGTGCTGAAGACTCTGAAGACAGGGTGCGGGATGAACAAGTTCTAAAGAATCTGATGACATAGTTCTGGAGACTTAGTTTTGATCCTTCTACACATGCTTCAACCATTATACATCCATAGGCCTCTGAAGATTAGAAGAGAAGATCAAAAGGTTTCACGTGAGTAGTAGTATAAGGTACAAAATCACCTCGCCACCACTATGTTGGTTTTGTGACACAAGGATGGTACTTATGTACTAGTTTGTCTACCACTCTCTCACTGATCGTTGCAAGAAGACAGTTGTAATTTTGGTATTCATATTCTACCCTCCAACAGATTTCTTTTCAGCTATAAAAGGAAGACTTGAAAGAATTAGAAACATTGAAGAACTTTGAAGAATTTTAGGCTTATTCAAGTTGCTAAAATACTGTCAAAATAACTTTTTGAGTTTTGTAAAGCAAGGAGTTGTTGCTCATTAACTAGCTAGCAAGGAACTTTTATTTATTAACTTTCTTAACATTGTTGTGTTATTATTTGTACTTCAATCTTGTGTAATCCGCTTGTAAGAAGCAATCTTGTAAACACATAAATTTATATTCAACTATAAGTCGATTATTTCTTGAGTGACTGAGTGAAGGTCTGTAGACTCAAGAAGACAAAGACAGTTGGTCTTTGTGGTTGATTCCTTGAGTGACTAAGTGTTAGTAGGAGTGTTCGCGGCACGATTTGGGTGGTTTTGACGCTAAAAGTCATCTGAATGGCAAGAGAAAAAACATGCGGTTTGGTTTGATTCGGTTGACTTTTAGAGAGAAAAACCAAACTAAACCAATACGGTTTGATTCAGTTCGGTTGGTTAGGTTTTTTATAAATATTTTATTGAGTCATACATACACATATAAATGACAATATAATTTTACATTTGGTCATTCATACACTACCAAATAACAAAAAAAACTCATCATATTTGGACAACAACTTCTCATTTAATATATAAAAATTAAATTAGACAAAAGTGGAATAGTAAACATAAAATAATAGCATAAAACAATATCAAAAATATTATAATTAAATAAAAAAAATAGAAGAGATGAGATATTGCAAAGATGAAAAAGAAAGAATATAAGAGAGAAGTGATTAGAGAAGAAGATGTGCGATAAAAACAAAATTGGCAGTAAGAGCAGTTGCATAAAAATAAGAATGTGAAAAATAAATAATATAAGAATGTAGAAATTATAGAAGAAAATGCAAGACGTATGTGGCAAAGAAGACGCGATAATGCTAGTAGAGCTTTGAGAAGACTGAAATTGAAACCGTAAGTGTAAGGAGGAGAAAATCATTTTAAATCGTAAAGCTAAGGTATAATAGGTTTAGATTGAGTTAAGTAAAATTTAGGTTGTAACATAATGCGGTTTGATTCGGTTATGTTCGGTTTGCAAAATATAAACGGCAAACCGAACCAAACTGTGCAGTTTTGTTAAAAGATGGCCCAAACAAATACAAACCAAATGTGGTTTTTTGCAATTTCGATTTGGTTTGGTTTGGTTTTGCAGTTTTTTATTGGGTTGGTTCGGTTTTAAACATCCCTAAGTGTTAGTCTGTAGACTCAAGAAGACATAGACAATTGGCCTTTTTAGTTTACAACAGTGATGAGTAGTCTTGTTGCGGTTCTGTAATTTGTTTGGTTATAGTGGATTAAGTCCTTATTGAGAAGGAAAAATCACCGTGGAGGGTGAATTGGATTAACTTCGTTAACAGTGAACCAAGATAAAAATAATTGTGTTTATTTATTTTTATTCTTCTGCTAAGAGTTTGTATTTGAGTTTGGATAAGTTTTATTTTGAGAAACTCAATTCAAACCTCCAATTTCTTGTATTTCTTGCACCTTCATCTCCTTCTATTATAGTCCTGAAGCATTGCTCCTGTAAGTGCTCTTGACTCCCCATACTCTCCCCTGACTCCCCAACAAGTGGTATTAGAGTATAGTTAGCTCGGTGGGAGAGCGAAAGTGGATCCTAGTATGGATTAAGGCTAGTAATGTGGGTAACTCGAACTTGTGGGTGAGATTGTTGGATTTCAAGTGAGAAAGTGTTAAAGTCTCAAATCGACTAGGAATGGAGGAAATGTTGAGATTGTCTTAAGATTTTGACTGGATATGTGGCGTCCAGGTCTCGTGGAATCATGAATGTTTAACCCATTGACACTTCCATACCTTTCTCTCCAGACTTCCCCAACAGTGGTATCAGAGTCGTGGTTGCTCGATGGGGTACCAGAAAAGGATCCTAGTGTGGATCAAGCCTAGTGATGTGGGTGGCTCACACTTGTAGGGGAGATTGTTAGGTTTCAAGTGTGAAAGTGTTAAAGTCCCACATCGGCTAGGAATGGAGAAAATGGTGGGTTTATAAAATACATGACTCATACTCTTGTTGCCTTAAATATTTTGGGTGATATGCAGTGTGAAGGTCTTGTGGAACCATGAATTTTTGGCTCATTGACACTTCTGGGCCTTGCCCCCTAAACTTCCCCAACATTGTTATCAAAGCCGTGGTTCGGCTTAACTGGAGCTAGATCTGGTGTTGGATTCTGTTATAAGATGTGATGGACTCATACTAGTGAGGGATATTGTTGTAAGAACAAGATTTAGTTTTGCATCCGCCCTTTAGTTTTGATGATAACAATACATTGTTTCTTAGAGAACAATTTTGTACCCTAATGGTTTTGTCTAGTGTGTAGATTTTTCTAACAGGTTCTGATTCTGAAGAAGTGGCGTGTGATGTCGTCACTTTCTGAACTCTATACACTTTAGCTCTGGAAAGATACAAAGTGTGTTTTACATAGTATTAGCCAAGCTTTGGAACACTCTAAACAACAGTTTTGAAGAACATTTTTCTAAAAGCTTCTGACAGTGACTTTGATAGAAGAGGTTCTTTAGATTTCTCAAGCTCTGAAGATTCTACGCTCTCAAGTTATGAGGTTCTGAAGACTGTGAAAACGAGATTCTGAAGACTCTGAAGACTTTCATTCTACTTTTGATCCTTCTAAGCATACTTCACCAACACGCATTCTGAAGCCTTTGAAGATTAGAAGATAAGATCAAAAAAAAATTATGTGAGTTAATAGTACGTGGTACAAGATCAAATATTCCTTCCACTACTATGATTTTGTGGTGTAAGGACTGTACTATGGTACAATGTTGTCTACCACTCTCACTGATCGTTATGCAAGAATAAAGTTGGGATTTTTACGTATTCTTCCCTCCAGCGAATCTTTCTTTGGCTATATAAAGAAGACTTGGAAGAACAAATTTTTGCTATCACATATTTGGTAAGAGAGCTTGAACATAAATATTTCCTCTTTGTGTAAAAATCTATAAAGCAAGGAACTTTTGGTTCATACACTTGCTCAAAAACACTTTTGTGTTAATCATTGTATTTTATTTGTATAATCTACTTTCATAGAAGCAACTTTGTAAACACACTTTTTATATCACAACTTTTG